GGCTGGAGTGCAGTGGTGATCTCAGCTCACTGCAGGCTTGACCTCCTGGGCCCAAGCGATCCTCCTGCCTGGACCTCCCAAAAGTGTTGGCATTACAGGCATGAGCCACTGCACCCAGCTTGCTTCTAATTTTCCTACCCAGGCTGTTTTAAACCAAGTTATCCAGCTAAGTTAAATGTGCCCAAATGGAAAACATCTAAATCTTCTGCTGCCCATTCTTCCTGTGTCTTTGTGTTGACAAACCTCTAACCTTCCACGTCTTTGTGTTGACAAACCTCTCCATGGGTGGTGCCTCTGACCTTATCCCAGCATGCCTTAGGATGCTCATCTCCTTGCTGTCTGCCATCCCCTCCCAAAACTAAATGTAGGCTGTCTTTTCTTCCTAGTTTGAGGTTCTTCTCCCAGTGTCCAAAGTGATCAATACGCCTAGAGTAGATGCTGCTGAAGAGGCAAAGAAGTAATCCCCCCACCTGGAAGCAAAGGCTGTGGGTTGGAGGGGGAAACGGGTATGAGGGCTGATGATAAACCCAGGGAGTAAAGGCTCCTGAGGCATATTCCTATGTTTGCTCTCTGGAGAGATGGGCTAAATTGTTTATCTTTTAAAAACCAGGTGATTAAAAAGTTATATTTTAGTATTACACTGATAGGAATTTAGGATAATCTCTTCTAAAGCCTATTTGGTCTCCAGAAGAGTTAGATACTTGAACAAGAGTGGACAGAGTAAGATACCTAGCTATAGCAACGGCAGTCACAAACTGTTCTGTGGTTTTAATCTTCCTATTTCTGATTTAGAAGTATGAAGTGATCATATTTAATCTTTCTGCTCCTGCTAAAAAATACTAATGCTATAACATCATTTAGGTTATAGAAAGTTTGTGCTTATAGCCCTTACATTCTTTATGACTGAAATGTGTATCTTTCCTCATGAGTGATAATTATCTCCCAATTTGGTCACTTATGCTAACTGCTATTTTATTAAACTTGAAATTTTAGGTTGGGAAGCAAAGGGAAACCACCAGGCATCCCCTTTGTTTCTAGGGAGAAAAGACTAACTTGTCCCATCTGCTCATTTGCTTATGGAGCTAAAAGTAAGACTCCCAGTCCTAGGAGTGTTCTGTTCCTGTTGGATGGTTAAGAAGTGAAAAGAAGTGAATTAAAAGATGAAAGGGCTTTTAAATAGCCAGCAACTCTCTACCATCTGTTTTGGTAAGAGCTAGCACTTCTTGTTCTCTTTAGACCCTGGAGGGAATAAAACAAAATCAGTGGTTCCAGGATCCTTCAGAGCCAAAAGACTCCAATACCACAGTCTTGACCTTTGCCCTTCCTGCTTCTGAAACTGGAGAATGGCTTCTACCAGCAGCCTAAGGCAGACGTAGGTCATACCTATCCCTGGGCAGTGAGCTGAGCTCCTAGAGACTGAGTTGTGCTGGACCTCAGAATTCTAAGCATTAATGATTCCTTGCTGTTACAATTCTTGCTCATCAGGTTCAACTGCTTTATCCCTCTGAGGTTTGCAAGTGAGGATGGAGAAGGCACTGAGAAGTGGACCAGTGAGCTGAGCTCACCCTTTGTATGAGTGGATTTTTGGTTTTTTTTTTTTTTTTTTGAGATGGAGTCTTGCTGTGTCGCCCAGGCTGGGGTACAATGGCGTGATCTCAGCTCACTGCAACCTCCACCTCCTCGGTTCAAGAGATGATCCTGCCTCAGCCTCCTGGGTAGCTGGGATTACAGGCGTGCGCCACCACACCCGGCTAATTTTTCTCTTTTTAGTAGAGACAGGGTTTCACTACGTCAGGCTGGTCTCGAACTCCTGACCTTGTGATCTGCCTGCCTCGGCCTCCCGAAGTGCTGGGATTACAGGTGTGAGCCGCCATGCCTGGCATGAGTGAAATTTTAGTGTTAAATCTCTTCCTGACTCTGGGTTCAGTAGGTCCCTCCTCTTCTGTTACCCTCCTGGTTCTCTCTGCTCACCAACCACCTGTGTGTGCCAAACTAGAAAAAGGAAATAATTTACACCCCTGCCCCAACAGCTCCTTCCCTCCTTCTGGGGGCTTCTGTGTCCACCAAACTTTGGGTCTTAGAACTGTGGCTAGAAGATAAAAGGGAGGAGTTTGAGTCAGAGCCTTTATGTCCCCAAACCCACCCCCCTCTGAGTATTAAACTACAGTGGCATTGTCCCTCAAACTCCCCTCTGCTTTGGCTCCAGAGTCTTCCTCCTCTTCTTTCAGACTGGACAGGGTGGCTGTTGTTATTGGTGAAGATAGGCATCTAGCCAGAGCTGCCCTGACTCCTTTAGTGAGCTGCAGGAACAAAATGGGGGCAGACAGTGAGGGAGGCAAGCGGAGCTGAACCCATCAGAGATGCAGCAGTGAGGTTAAGGCCTTCTTCCAGCTGGAGGCTTTCCTCCCCTCTACTTTAGAGAAAGCTAGCTTGGGCCATGGTACTGAGGGGAACCCCAGTGAGGGCAAAGGCCTGACCTGGCCACAGGACCAATAAAGAATCCTGCCTTTGCCATGGTGAACTCCATCCCACACGACTGGGAATACCTTCTGTTCACTCCCCACCCTACATGTCATCATTTCCATTGCCCTGCCCTTTTCCCTCCCTACCGGCCATCTTCTTGGGCTCAGATACTCACTGGATGATGTCGGCGAAGGCTGATAGCAGGGGCTTGGACTGGTACTCTATGCCATGCTTGGCACACAAGGACTGCACCAGGGGAGCCACTTTGTAGTAATTGTGTCGAGGCATCATGGGAAAAAGACTTCAGGGAGAACGAACAGCAGGGAGTCAGTGGTTCCTGCTTCTCTGCTCCCACCTGTACCCTACACTTATACCCTCCCCAGGACCCTGCTTCCCCAGGCTCCCTACTCACTGGTGCTCAATCTGGAAGTTGAGGTGTCCACTGAACCAGTCATTGAAGGCAGACTTGTGGACATTGCATGTGGCCTGGAGCTGGAGGAAAAGGTCAGGGGAGAGCATGTTGAGTATCAGATGGAAAGGCCAGCCCAGCATTCTCCAGGTAAAGCTGGGTGAGGCAGGGACGTGAGACTGTCTTGGTCACTCACTTCACATGGTAGCAGAACAAGAGCCTCAGGCTAATAAGAAAATGCTGTTTGGGGGACTTTTTGTTTTTGCTATTTTCACCTACCCACCCTTTTCAATAGTTATGTTATGCTCCAGTCTTCTGAGTGACTGTCCCTTACCTGGGTGGAAACCCAGTCCATGTTCCGGTCATGATCAATGTGCATGGGGATATGGTTCATCTGTGTCACCCACACAAACCAGTTGCTTTCCAGGAACCTGTTGAATGTTACACAGACAAAAACAGTATACACAGAGCCCAGAATTCGGATTTCCCCCTCAGATAACTGCTCCAGCCTATCTACTTTCCCAAGCCAACTCCTGAAACACCCACTGTTACCCAAAGCCCCAGCACGGCCCCTAGACCAGACTGGTCACTCCCCAACATTTCTTTCACCAGTCCCTACCCGCCCCCACCAAATACTACCTGACTATGAAGAAAAGGCCCAGGAAGGCTTTCAGTCCCAATAGTGGCACATAAGTGAGGAGTAAGCGGATGTAGAAGGTGATCATCCAGGCCAAGTCCTATAGTGAGGAAAGCAGTGAGCATAACAGTCACGAACAGCTCTTCTCTTCCTGTCACCAGCTCTTTCTTTGTATGGTGCAGCCATTCTCCTGGGTATCCAGACTCAGTCGTCTTCAGCTTCTCAGGGGTCCAATCCTGCAATATCTAGTGCCACTGCTCCTTTCTTCCATTCCCATTGGCACCCCCCAGCTCTTCTTGCTGTCCCCTTCAAAAGTACCAAGGCCTACAAGGTCTCCTTGCCTCTAGCTCTTCCCAGCCAATCTAAATCCTTCAGCATGCTGCCAAATGAATCTTCCAGGACCATGGCTCAGTCCATGCCAGTGCCCTGATGAAATCTCTCATTGCTTTTCTGTACACTGAACCAAGCACCATACTCTTCCCCTGACACTAGTCCTCCACAATATGTCTGGTTGTCAAACTTACCCCTCATTTCCAGCTTTTCTGCTTGAAGTTCATCCCCACTGCCCCACCTCTGCCTGTCAGAAACCCCGCCCAGCCTCAAGGCCAGCTAGAAAAGTGACTTTACAAAGCCAGGTGCAGTCAGGCCCCTTTTGGAGTCCCCAGAACCTATTGCCTGTACCTCTTTTCTGATTTAACAACCACATTCTGCTTCATCAGAAGTTTCCTTGAAAGTAGGTATTATCATTCATCTTGCCCATTCCCAACTCAGCCCCCTGGCATTATGCCCAGTACAAGAACCTCTGGAGACACTGGCTGCATGAAATTGCACATTGGGAATCAGGCTGCCTGCTAAGCTCAAATCATTTTGTCCCACTTAGAGAAGGCAAGGATCTGTGTCTGCTTCTATTAGTTTGCTCTAAATTAGGCCTGGAGTCAGCCTCAGTTTCCCCTGGGGAATCCCTATGCCCTACTCTGGGTGCTGGAGACAAGGATGTGGGCTTCTTGGGTCATGGATACTCACCACCCACTTCTTTCGCTGGATAGCAAAATAGAAAACATACCACTGGAGGAAGAAAGGCACCAAGGCTGGGGGCCCAACTGGGGAGGAAACCAAGACAAAGAGGAGGCGTGAGCACAAGACGGTCATGAAAGGGCCAGTTGATGCTGGAGAGATGGCCTCTAGCAGGGGACTGCCTCTTCCGATCATCCCTTCTGTCTCCCCTCCAGCTGCTTGAGTGCTCTGCAATCCACTGGAACCAGCAGGCACCGAAGGTGGGCATAAATCCAAGTATGGGGAGGGCAAAAACTCTTAAGAGGATGCCAGGGAAGGTGAGGGGCGTGAGTGGCACTCTTCAGTGACAGGCAGCCTGGGAACTCAGGCCTCACGCATGGGACTTGCTCTGCTCCCACACCTTTATTATTTTTCATTTTTCCTCACTTTCCTATATACACACTTCATGGATCCCACACCTTTAAAAGGGTGCCAATACTCTCTTACTTACCTTGGCCACAGTCCTGTCCCTACAGTCATCTGCCCTTTGTTCCTGGCAGCTCCACCATGCAGGTGAAGGGGCAGGAGCAGGAAAGTGTGTGTGTGTTGGGAAGGACCCTATGGATCCTTCACAGGCTGTGAAGCTCACTTCCTTAGACTAGGGAGATGGGCTTGTGCCACCCCAATCTGAAGCCCTGGAGGTCAGTCGTGGGAAGGAACTGAGGGGTCTCTCTTGAAAGAAAACTGGGAGTTGAAGAAGTGTTGCATTCTACATGCTGCCTCATTTCCTTTTCTGTAGCCCTTCTCTGTGGCACCTGATGCTACCCATAACTCCTAGTATGACAATGACCACCCACGGCTCCTCCATCTTGATGTGCCATGGATTCTAAAATCATTTCTTCCAGAGGTCTCTGCTCTACCCTTCTGCCCCATCCACCTTTCTCTATTAGTGATAGTTGGTGATAGGCAGTTAGGATGAATTCCTTCAAACTAAAATAAGATCAGTGGACTCCTTCCCTTCTTTCTTTAAAAAATTTGAAAATTTAAAGGCGTTTAAAGCTCATTTTAGGCATTATGGAGCAGAGTTGTTGTTTTAAGAAACAGGATCTCACTCCATTGCCCAGGCTGGAGTGCAGTGGCACAATCAGAGCTTACTGCAGCCTCAAACTCCTGGGCTCAAAGGATGCTCCCACCTTAGTTTCCCTAGTAGCTGGGACAGACTTTTAAAGCTGGGAATATATGGAATCATCAGAAAGATCTTCTCAGTTCTAACAGCAATTCCTGTCTCCTCCAGACCCATCCTTCCAGAACTATCCGTACCTTTGTTCCTCTGGGGGTTGGACTGGGCTCTACCAGGTTACCTTGGCCCATCTTGACAAAGTTTAAGATAAGGTTGAGGGTAAAGCAAAAGGTCTCTCTACACTCCAAACACCCAGCTTCCTAGTGGAAACTGGAGTTGGATGGGAGGAACTAGTTTGCCCCCAACCAAATAACCTTCAGCCAATCATCAGCCTAACTTCACTTCGCTCAGTTGAAATGGCAAACTGCTCTCAAGCAGGGAGTAACTGGGGGTGGGGGTGGGGTACTTCCTGTAGCCTCTTTCCTTAAAATACCATAATCCCTTGGAGAGCCACATCCTCCTCATTCCCTCAGCATTCCCTCCTGAGGCAGCTCCCCTGTGTTGGATGGGGACACTCACTCAGGAAGAAGTATTTGTGCTGGTGGTTGTACGGCATATATTTTTTCTTCTGTTTCCCAAGCTGTGAAGAAAAGCAAACACATGAGCATTCAGAGACCAGTGATTCCTCCCTCTGTGACCTTGACCTTCCCCTGCTTGGAAGTTTAGGCCTCCTCCAGGGCTGACAGTTTGTTGGTGCTATTGGAAAGCTCCAAGAGGCCCAGCCTTACCTGCAGCACATGGAACATGAAGCCCTAGGCTGTAATCTGCAGAGCGTGTCACACCATGGCCTGCAGCTGGATGGCCCATGCTCACATGAGGGATGTGCCCAGCACAGTCTACAGGACCACAGGCCCTCTTGTGTTCATTCTCTTTGTCTTAAGGTTTCCAGGCCCCACTACCCTCTCCCCTTTCTCCCATCGTGCTTATTTATTTATTTATTTTTTAGACGGAGTCTCACTCTTGTTGCCCAGGCTCGAGAGCAATGGCATGATCTTGGCTCACCACAACTTCCGCCTCCCTGGGTTCAAGTGATTCTCCTGCCTCAGCCTCCCGAGTAGCTAGGATTACAGGCATTTGCCACCACACCCAGCTAATTTTGTATTTTTAGTAGAGATGGGGTTTCTCCATGTTGTTCAGGCTGGTCTCGAAGTCCTGACCTCAGGTGATCCACCCACCTCGGCCTCCCAAAGTGCTGGGATTACAGGTGTGAGCCACTGTGCCCAGCCGCCATCGTACTTTTTGACATCAGAATGTCCATGGACAACCATATCTGCCCCTATACAGGTTAAGTATTCCCTCTATATCCAGCCCCTAACCCTCCCCATCAAAATCTTTTGGTCTCTTGACTTCAACATGGTCTCTTGACTTCAGGGGATTTTATCAAATCCCCTGAAGGCTAGTTTGGCAAATATTTCTGGAAAAGACACCAAGAACAATTTGGCAATCTGAAGGTTCCAGCAGTTTTCCCCAGTAGGTGGTGGTTATTTTTTATAAGCCGAGCTGCTGAAGAGACGGGCTGGGGCCACCATGTCAACCAGCCAGCCTAGAACCCCTGGTGTGGGCTCACAAACCAGACAGCAAAGTTCTGCTGTCTCACTCCATGACTGTCTGTATCGCACTCCAATTAGTTCAGGTAACCAGACAACCACAAGGGTATAAGAGGAGCACTCAACCCCTGAGCAGAGCTCTAGCTCACCCTTCCATGTGTCCACAGTTCATTTATTGAGAGCTTATTCTGTGCAAGGCACTTCAGCTAGATGAAGCGTGCTTTCTACATTAACAGATTCAAGTACTTGAGCACCTACTGTGTGCCAAGCTATGTTTTAGATGCTCAGGATACAGAGGTGAACAATACAGACTTCCCACCCTCTTGGAGCTTATAACCTTAGGGGATGAAGCTAGTGATAAATTTGTAAACAGAGACCGGGTGCAGTGGCTCACACCTGTAATCCCAGCACTTTGGGAGGCTGAGGTGGGTGGACTGCATGAGCCCAGGAGTTCGAGACCAGCCTGGGCAACATGGCAAAACCACATCTCTACTAAAAACACAAAAATTAGCCAGGCTTGGTGGCACACACCTGTAGTCCCAGCTAGTCGGGAAGCTGAGGCAGGAGAATCTCTTGAACTTGGGAGGTGGAGGTTGTAGTGAGCTGAGGCCGCACCATTGCACTCCAACCTGGGTGACAGAGCGAGACTTCTGTCTCAAAAAAAAAAAAAAAAAAAAAAATTGGGACCCAAAGTAGCCTTTCTTCACCCCTGCCAGCTATGAGGCTGAGGATGGGCTGCCTGTTAGTGAATGCCTGGGCAATAGGCTGCTTGGTTCCATCCCTTTGGGGATGTTGATGCCTGTGCTGACCCCATGACATCCACATCAGTGCCTCTCAAAAATTCCTGGAGGACAAGGAGGGGCAGGGGACACTGACCTAAATAGAACCCTTCTGACCACCAAGGGTCTAAACATAATGGGGCAAGTTATAGGGGTCATAAAGGCATTTGCCATTCAAGGAGGAAGTAATGGGTGGGGCTCCTTTCCGTAACAGTTCCACAATAGGAGGCCACCCTGGTGGGGTGGGGCTCTGCCCCACTCATCCCACCAAACAAGGGTGCCCCTCTTTCAATTTTCCCTCAGTTAATGTTGCTGAAGATGGGGTGATTCTCACCACCACATCCAGGTCCTCAGCAAGCCTTGTTTACACTGCCTCCAAAACATATCCCAAATCCATTGGCTTCACCTGCTCCTTCCTGGTCTGGTCTGGACTCGCTCCAGCCTCCTCTCTGAGGTTATATCTGTGATTATACCTACCTTCTATAATTCATCCTCTCCACCTCCAGCCAGAGCAAGCCTTTTAAAAGTGCAAAGCAGATTGCTATACACACCAGAAACCCTCCAGTGACTTCCCATTGCTATTGGAATAAAACCCAAACTTCTTACCACACCATTTCCATGGCTTTCTAAGGCCCTACATGATCTGGCCCCTCCCTAGTTTTCTGGTCTTCTCATTTTCTCATTGCTTACTGTCTCTGAACATCCAGGAGCCTTTGTACTTGACTGTTCTCTCTGTTCCAAATGTTCCTTCCCTGAATTTTTGCAGTGCTGGCCCTTTTCATCATTCAGGTCTCAGTTCAGATGTCAGCACCTGAAGGAGGCCATATCTGGTCATGACTACCTCTCAGTTTCTGTCATATTTTACTTTTTTAAATCTGTAAGTCACCTTGAGCTCTGTTTACAATATTTTTTGGTTTTAATCTTTTTAAAAAATTATTTTTTTTACACACAGGGTCACGCTGTTATCCAGGCTGGAGTGCAGTGGCGTGATCATACTGCAGCCTTCACCTCCTGGGCTCAAGCGATGCTCCCACCTCAGCCTCCCAAGTAGCTGGGACCACTGGCACGTGCCAATCGCGTCCCTTCATTCTCTATTTTTTATGTCTGCTGATAGGAATTTCCTGAAAACCCAAGTACCAGGAAGCAGTAAAGGTGGTGGTGTGAGACGGTTCCCCTCCACTTAACCTGCCCGTGTCTTTTTTTAAACCCTCTGTAGTGACAGTAGAAATGCACAAGCCCCATGCTACTGCCCAGCAAATAACCACACTGCCCTTGAAGCAGCCACGGGAGTCAGACGGTGGGCAGGGCTGCTTCATCATCCACACAGTACTCACCGTAATGGTATCGGACATATAACAAGCCCAGGTCCATGCTCATGAGATGGGAAAATAAGAGCATTATGGACAGGTGGGGCATGAGCCTCAAGCTATGAGCTCCTCATGCCAGGCCAGCCAGTGCTGCCAAAGCCCTTTCAAAGTTCTCACGGCAAGATGAGAGCCAGGCTACCTTGGACTCATGCCTAGAACTGAAATGTTTTAACGACAGATTAATTCCTGGCAAGCTGAAACATCATAAAGTGGAGGAGGGGACCTGGAAGAACTCTGCAGCCTAGAGGCTTGGGACAAAGGGCTTTAAATTAACTTTCCAAAGATCTCTGCTGGCTTTTCAGAACCTTCCATTGCCTAATGCTCACTAAAAGTTCACCAGATCTCCACCCCCAGGCATTATTCCTTCAGCGGCTATATTATTTCTGCTTACAATCTCAGATGACAACTCAAACCCAACGCTGACCACCCAGGAAGTCAGGCTGGGGATCAGCAGGGTGAGAAGTAGTACTCAGTGAATGAATGTTCCAGATAACTGGACATCAAAGAAGAGTCAGACAGTCCAACCCTAGACAGAGAAGACTGTGACAAGAAGGCTACCTAAGTGTGGGAGAGAAATACATAGTGCAAGGGGAATGCTTGCCTGGGACAAGAGTCAAAAAATCACCTCCAGGAGGTGCCATCAGCACCTTCAAGGATAGGCCATCTCATCCTTTGGATGCTTCTGGTCATCCTCTGGATCCTTTGCAAAATGAGGTGCCTTTTATGCAGTAACGGTTTGCTGACTGAACGAACGGTCTAGGGAAGATGGTGATTCCCTTCTGGGCAGCCCCCATTTATTGCCTGTTGCCTTCTAGAACTTCCAAAATCGCAAAAGCCCCAGCTAGCCCAGCTCCAGTGTCTTGCCCACATTGACATTGTGGGCACCTTCCCCAACCCCCCTATGTTGGCTGCCTCCTATTCCCCAAGACCTTTCCACTGATACCTCCACTTACCTCTACAGACAGGATCTTCCCCAAGGCAAAGAAGAAGGGATGCATGTTGATGTCTGGGTCTTTGCCGAAGCAGTTGGGCTTGGCATGGTGCTGGAAGTGCAAGTGGTTCCACCAACTGGCAGGGACCCCCTACAGAAAAGCAGGGACACGAGTATGAAAACCTTCCCCCAAGGCAGCCCTTCATTGCCTGGAGTTTCAGAGAGCCCCTCCCCATCCCACTGACCTTCAGGTGGCCAATCACAAAACGATGTACCAGATGGTTCCACTTTGAGGTGCTGAAGACCGACAGGTGCCCCAAGTCATGCTGCAGCCAGCCAGCCTGGATCTAGGTGAGAAGAGTCAATGCTGAGAGCAGCCCACCAGACCCAGTGTCCCCTTCACTGACCTCTGTGCCTCCTTCAGCCTCTCCCACTTCCTTCATCTGCTAAGGCCTATGATGCACCTCAGGAGTCAGGAAACATGGGGCCTAGTTCTGCCTCTGCCACTGACTCACACGTAAGTTGGGGCAAATCACCATCCCTTCTCTGTTCTTCAGTTTCGCCAGCTCCAAAGCTCATGACTTTTTTTTTTTTTTTTTTTTTTGAGACAGTTTTGTTCTTGTTGCCCAGGCCGGAGTGCAGTGGTGCAGTTTCAGATCACTGCAACCTCCACCTCTTGGATTCAAGTAATTCTCCTGCCTCAGCCTCCCAAGTAGCTGGGATTACAGGTGCCCGCCACCATGCCTGGCTAATTTTTTTGTATTTTTAGTAGAGTTGGGGGTTTCACCATGTTCGCCAGACTGGTCTCGAACTCCCGACCTCAGGTAATCTGCCCACCTCGGCCTCCCAAACTGCTGGGATAACAGGCGTGAGCCACCACACCTGGCCTGTTTTGAGAGCGAGTCCCGCTCTGTTGCCCAGGCTGGAGTGTAGTGGTGCCATCTCGGCTCACTGCAACCTCTGCTTCTCAGGTTCAAGCAATTCTCCTGCCTCGGCCTCCCGTGTAACTGGGATTACAGGCACCCGCCACCACTCCCAACTACTTGTTGTATTTTAATAGAGATGGGGTTTCACCATGTTGGCCAGGTGGTCTCAAACTCCTCACCGCAAATGATCTGCCCGCCTTGGCCTCCCAAGGTACTGGTATTACAGGCGTGAGCCACCGCGCCTTTTTGTATGTTTAGTAGAGGTGGAGTTTCACCACGTTGGCCAGGCTGGTCTTGAACTGGTCTCAAGTGATCCGACCACCTTGGCCTCCGAAAGTGCTGGGATTACAGGCATGAACCACCACGCCCGGCCTGAAGCCCATGACCTATGATGGACTGACATCTGGAATACAGAAAGGACTCAAACATGAGCAGAAGGCTTGGCAAATGGGTCCTGACGGTCAAGAATTAGTGCTCAATCATTATTAACATGTTGGGCAATGTCAGTGGTGGGGAGGGAGCCAGGCTTTGCTAAAAAACCAGAAATTTGGTTCTTGGCACAGGTGGGCTGTGGCAGAGGACAAACCATGTAGAAATAAGGGAACCCTCGGAGAAGGAGCTAAAAAGGCAGTGAGAGAAATGAAGATGCCCATGTGGCTAAAGAGCAGACAGGCCAAGACAGTGGAATGCATGTTCCTGCACTCTCCTGCATACCTTCAGATCTACCCTACTTGGAGGGCAGGAATCCTTGGCCTTCCTCAAACACCGAAGGAGCTTTCCCCAGGGATACTGAGTGCACTTGACAAGCCAAAGGCTCTCACCTGAGCTGCAGTGAGCAGCACGGCACAGAGAAGGAAGGGCAAAAAGGATGTCCCAAAGATCCAAAGGGTGAGCCAGGCTGCACCATCCAGCAGCAAGATGTGCAGCAGGTACAGCAGGAAGAACACATGGTTGGCCTTCATGAGCCCCATCCGCTCCACTGTGGCCCGCAGCTCCCGGAACTCATCAGTCAGCTCTTTCTGCAGAAGAGGAGGAGGAGCTGTTATTCTCATCTGCACCCCAACGCTACTGGAGACAAGGGCCCTCTCAGGCTCAAGGACCTCCCACTGAGGTAGCTGTAGGAAGTCCACAGTCCTAGGCAAAGATACCACGACAATGAGGATGACAGAAGGAGGTGCTATGGGATAGTGCCTAAGAGTTCAGAGGACTTAAGTCCTTGCTCTGCCATTTACTAACTGTGTGATCCTTGGCTGTGTTGCTTAACCTCCCTGAGCCTGTTATCTCATCTGTAAATGTGTGAGAGTTATGAGTTTATGCTTGGCGCATAGTAAGTGCTCATACTGATGATGATGATAACGATGGAAGCCATGGTAGTGGCAGCCTTGGGGGAGCCATAGGTTGCAAAGTCATGCTCCCTTGGCCCTGTGACCTCAGGATTATGCAAAAGAAGCAAGGACCTCAAGATTCCCCAGAGCTACTACTATGACTACTATGACTGTGATCCCATCTAGACTGTCCTATCTCCTCTCTGTCCTTCTCAACAACCAAGAGTTGCCACATAGCAAACACAGGGTCTCACATTCTTGGTGGGCTCAAAGCTGGGCTGCTCCGGAGACAGTTCTCCAATCAGGAGAGAGTTCATATACTTCTTCACAAGGCCCTTGTTGCTGTGGAAGGCCACAAAGGGATCCTGCAAGTGCGGGGAGAAGATGAAAGGTGAGGGAGCCAGCCCCCTGGACTCTGGCAGTGTTCACACCAAAGGCCATTCTCCTGCCTGCCGGAAGGCTGTACCCAAGTTGAAGTGAGAGGTGAAGCCAGATGGACTTCCTGGGTCGAGTGGGGACTTGAAGAACTTTTCTGTAGCTAGAGTTTTATAAAATGCACCAATCAGTGCTCTGTAAACACACACCAATCCACGCTCTGTAGCTAGCTAGAGGTTTAGTAAAATGGACCAATCAGTAGGACATGGGCGGGG